CCCGTATGGTCTAAGGGTCATCAGCACAATTTAATTACATTATGAAATGGATAAATTGGACTATGCAGGCTTAAGGGATTAGAAGACCCGTGGCAAAGGGATGACATTTTACTTCAGAGTGGTCAACACTATGCCCGTGGAGCTACACAACAGAGGTAGATGGGTGCTTTATTTTCTAACAGCTGCTTTATTATATGACTTTTTTTTTTTCAATGGCGCTGGCGTTGACTTGGAAAAGCATCACAACACTCTTTGTAGGAAGTAAAAAATGGGCACTTTAAATGTTCTGCACCTATATCGGGATTTGCCGTGACTATTTTTCCACTTTGGCCATCTCTGCAGACTCACAAAGCAACTGTTAAATCTTCATGTCTGGTGTCTGTGACATCTTTTAAGCCTTGAAAAATCCTTCCTCCCCCCCCCAAAAAAAAAAGTCCAACTCAACTATTGGTACATTTTACTCTTCATACGGTACCTTCTGCATTCAAATGGAGTCATCATTTGTAATTCTGGACCTAATGTAAAAGGAAGGAAGTTAACCAGGGCTCTTTCGAAGCCCATTACAAGTTGCGGAGCACAGATGATGAGGTGGGCAATGATGATGATGATGATGAGGAGGAGGAGCTTGGTGAGGGGCAGATGAAAGCCGACACCCGATGTATTTTAACTCGGCTCTATTAGACATGAGCTCCCGTCGGGCGCCAAGCGACATCACGATGGCTCCGGGCAAACGTTCGCTCCTCACGCTTCAGAGAGAGTGCGGACTTCCTCTCTATACATGCGTACACGCTCTCATGAATCATTCAGACAACTCTACACTTATTTTCAATGGTCAAGCAAGATCGGAGACGAAAAAAAAAAACACCGTTGCAGGAATGAGCCTGCGTTGAAAAAAAATTGAGAGTGAGGCTAAGGCATGGAGACAAACAACAAATCTGAACCAATAAGCTTGACACATTCCCCCCCCCCTCCCCCTTAAAGCGAGAACACAAATTCACAATTAAGCAATGATGCTCAGCTACAAGATATGCGGTTGAAAAGAGCTGATTGATTTAATCCGAGAGAAGATGGGCTGATCATGCAGAGCGACATTGAATTTAGACAAAAACTCATCAAGCAGACTGGGAAGACAAGGGAAAAAAAAAAACTCAAGCACAAAATGGGAAACTGATCTATGATCGTATAAATGTCATGTTCTACCAAAAGTTGAAGAAAGCAAAGATGACAATTATGAATCGCTTTTTCAGAGCGTGAACAAAACCTCGGCTGCGTTTTACTCGCTTGTCGCCAGCGGGAAAGAATCTTGGCTGCGTTTTACTTACTCGTTCAAAGGACAAACGAAACGTGACAAAATATTGCGTCAACAGTCCAAAGCGATGCTTTACTCACTTGTTGCCAACGGAACATAGCCTTGGCGTTGTTTCACTCATTTCCGGGAAAGATATATGAAACCTAGCAACATTTTACTGAATGGTAGGGAATGAAAACAAACCTTTGCTACTTTTTAAATCGCTTGTTGCCTTGGCGTAAACGAAACTTTTTCTCACTTTGTGTCACCGTGAGTCTTGAATGTATTTTAACCGAATCTTACCAATGTTTAAACACCCTTATTGCGGACGTAAAGGAACCTAAGCGAAGTTCACTCGCTTGACAGTATCAGCAAACCTTGGCTATGTCTTCTGGTTGCTAGGGAAAGTAGCTCTGTTTTACCCACTGGGTATTGAATCTTAACCTACAGTTTCCTAGTTTCCTGGTCAAACTGTGAGCTCAGTGCTCAACAAATAATTAGTAGAGAAGTCATTTGTATGCACTGGTGTCAGCAAAACAAAATATGTTGACCTTCTTGTTGTCGTGATTGTATAAACGTGCACCTGATAAAGTCCATATTTATGTCATTTGCTTGTAGCTGCTTGGTTTTGCCTGTGCTGCACCACACACACACACACACACACACACACACACACACACACACACACACACACACACACACACACACACACACACACACACACACACACACATCAAATCATACGCCGGAAGGAATCACCCCACCCAAAAAACATGTGGTCCCTGCGGTAGGCGTGCAAAGAAAGCTGACTTTGCAGCATTGTCCAACAATCAAAAGTTGCATCTAAACATACAATGACTCACAGTAACTAAAATGGGCCATGCAGCACCTTTTTGTGAAAATGCAGCCACTGAAGTAGCGTAAAATTTGGTTTGGATGTCCAATAGTGTCTGACGAAGCCATACCGAAAGACACACAAGAAGTCTGCCACTTTGGTTGAAGCGACTCTTTCACAGTCATTTTGGGCATTTTGAAGGGTCCATAAAAAAAAAAAAAAGTCGTCCTACATATTTATTATGATTGCTATCAATATTGACCGACATGATTCAATGGTGAGTTTTCATCATTGTGTGTGGTGAAAGCGTTGCAGGCGAAGTTTGAAGACTCAGCACCTTTAGCAGAACATTTGGTGCTCCCATTGAAATGTTTTTTTGGGGTGGGGGTTTGAGAATTTACTCTCTCGTGCTAATTTTCTTTAGCAACATAGAAGGGCAGACATTTCTTTGATGAGTTGACCCACAAAACCAAATAATTAAATACATTAATTACTGAAAAAAAAAATCACATTCAAGCAGCCATTAGACACGGGAAGTCTGCCATTTTGCTTTGAAGCAGCCATTTTCCCATCAAATAGGAACTTCGGGTATCCGTATAGCAGACAGGAGAATGATACCTTATAGCAAAGAAATGAAACAAAACAAAATGGCGCTGCATTTGGAAGCACCGTGGGTTTGTACTGAGCATGTTTGCCTCACAGTCCTGAGGTGCAGCGTCAAAATCTGGGCTCTGGCCTTTCCGAGTGGATTTTACTTGTTCTTCCCATGGTTGTGAGCTCTCTCTGTCTCTCTGGACTGCGGCTTCCTCACACATTCCAAAAAAAATAAACATTTTAGGTTCATCTAAGAGGAGTCTAAATTGTCCATATCGGTATGAATGTCAGCGCGAATGCTTGCTTATCTCAATGTGCCCTAGGATTGGCGTGTGCTCAGTACTGGTTTACTCCGCCTCTGGCCCAAAGTCACCCATAGAAAATGAATGGAAGGCTGGAACTCTGCTGGCATGACAATGATCTCTCACAGCATCCTCCTCGCTCTTCTACAGAGTCATTTGCTCACAAGCTCAAGTGGGCCTCATGTTCGCAACGGCTGTCATATTTCTGACATAACCCGTGTCTGTCTATGTCCTTGTATGTGTGTGTTTTATTTCACAACAAGTAGAACCGATGTTCTACTTTTTTTTTCCTACATCACAGGCGTATTAGTGGCGCGGAGATTCCACTTTGGCTGAGTGGCTCTCGTCCAGAGTGGGAGAGTATGACAGTGCTCAGTTATTGATAATGAGTTGGTGCGCTGTCGACACACGACTGCGCGCTGTTCGATGCGCCGCGACTCGCCATGGAGGCAGATTTTTTTTTTTTTTTTTGGGTGCTCGGGCATCTGCTGTGCTACTTCATCAGAATTTACACACACACACACACATATATGTATATATATATATAATTTTTTTAACAATCCTTTTATATATACACACGCACGCACGCACGCACACACACACACACACACACACACACACACACCGTATTTTCCATCCTATAAAGTGCACCTAAAAGCATTCGATTTTCTCAAAAGCCCGAAAGTGCGCCTGATAATCCGATGCGCCTTATATATGTATCAATATTCTGATTTCGTGGACGTAGTATTTTAAATGTTCTGTCAGGCTCTTTGTTACAACTGCAGCAGTTGTGAAAGCGCTATTTAAATAAAGCTTTATTGTATTGTATTGTATTCCCTTTAGCGCAGCTCCATCTAGTGGATGCATAACACAAGAGCAGCCACTACTGTAGCTTCTATTCTATCCGCATTATAATGCGGTGCGCCCTATCTATGAAAACAGTTTTAAAATAGGCCATTCATTGAAGGTGCGCCTTAAACTTTGCCTTATAGTGCGGAAAATACGGTAAATGTATTGAACTATGTCATCAACGTTAGGTCACTGCTTCCATGGTTACAAGAGCACAAGATTTCCATCACCGTTGCTTCAAAATCCGAAGACTATCCACACTTGGTATCCATACATGAGCACAAAGGCTTGACATGTATGAACTCCCTCCATTTCCATGGTAACTCTCACCTCTGAGACACCCCAGATGCGACGTTAAAAAGTGACAGATTTAGCAAGCAGGCCATATTAAAAAAAATAAAAAACCCAACAAAAAAAAAAAAAACTGAGTATGCAAACGCGTCCTTGTTTGTGTGCGCGCGTATGTGCGAGTGTTTTTACTTTTAGTGTCTCCCCTGCTAATTAATGCATGGCTCCCCCTCATAGAGGGTATACTTAGCTCTGCCAAATGTTTGCATGTGTGCATTCATTTTGTCAGACAAAATTATACAATACCACAAAAGCAATGTTATGATTGGAATGTGCCGTTTCGTTTTGAAGATTAATGGATTTTTATAGAATGCCCTAGATTCATTTTTTTTTCTCAGATTTTTTAAATATATTTTGTTGTTCTTTACACTCCATGAAATTGGGCGATAATTGCCCGTCATTATGATATGTGAGTTTTTAAAATGACATTAAAATATGGCATCCATATTTTTGTCTGTGCATTCATATTTATTAAAATGCTATTATTTCTAGCATTGTTTTTTGTGCATTTTGAATGTAGACAACTCTTTAAGTGGCGATATACAGTAAATGCTTTTTATCTCCTCATTTACTATTGAGAAATCATCACATTATGTATCCATTTAGTCATGTATGTTTGTGGGATTATTAGAATGTCTCTTTGTTTAGTGTAGTTTTCTTTTCTCCGCTCAAGCAAATGTTGAATGGAGCAGTGATTGGCATCTGAGGTTTTGTGGGGCATGTAAGACAAACAGCTGCCAGCCTTCTTATTTTTATTTTTTTGCATTGAGCGGGGAAAACTCACCAGGTCGTTGGGGCACCTTCTCCGACGGGTCCAGATGCTGGAGGAAGAGAAGCAGTCCTCCGGCAGCGAAGAGCAGGAGGAACAAGAAAAACCAGTGCAACCTCCTCCTCCGTCCACACTGGAAGTCCAGTGTCATCTTCCACTTCTTCCCCAGCATGATTCTGCAGCAAGGGTGTATGTGTGTGTTGCGGGGGGGTAAAGGGGGGGGGGGGACAAAAAAAAGCAGAATTAGCGTAACAGAGAGACCAATTTTTTTATTTAAAATAATGGCATCTACAGATATGACTATTTTTGGTCATGCAACACAAAATGCAAGTGCAAACTCATTAAATATTTAAATAATACCATTTAAAAGGAATTGAAGCAAACAACAAAACCACATTTTGAGGCGTGCGTGCGCATGTGTGTGTGTGTGTGTGTGTGTGTGTGTGTGTGTGTGTTTTCCAAATGCGAAGTGCTCCCTTGCATTAAAATTACCCTTTAGGATGGCACAAAACTGCTGAAAAATCAAAGCATTTAGGGCAAGAACTCATTTTGTGCCTTTTTCCACAAAAATCAACTCACACAAAACTTTAATATTATTGAGGTACTATGTTTGTCCCGCAACTCCGCAAAAAATTATTAGGACTGCTAATGTTGCAGTGTTGGCCAATAGCCATCTCCGCCATCCAGTGGTGATTAGTGATATTACAACCAAATAGTACCACACTATTTGTGAAGGATAGCGACTGCGAAGAGCAAAATTTGTTTTGTTTGTTTCTTTCCGTTTGGATTTTTCTCTTCTCATTTTATCTTGTTTTTCATCATTATTTCCCTGATTGTCTGCAACGCACTACTTGCCTTGCATATGGTGCAATAATTAGGCAAAGGTTCATCACACATCCTGCGGTGCCACGGTGCACTTTTGTGTTGTTGCTGTAAATCTCTTGCAGGTGCGGCACAATTTGAGCTTTGCAAAACAATCACTCACGCTCGGGAAAAATATTTTCATCCTTCTGAGCTGAGCACAAGCAGCTTCTCTCTGCTCCAACTGGCAAACCGTATTTGTCTAAACTGGCATAATAAAAACCTCTTAGTCTATTTAATTTGTGAGCAATAATCCATGAACTGGGACAAATTCGAGCGGCTTATCACCCCCCACTGCCCGAAAAAAAAAAAAAAAAGTATCTTCCCCCCATCCACCTAAATAAACAAAAGTCGAGGCCTTGAAATGTTCTTCCAGCTGGAAACACTGGCTGTTTTCGTGCGATGAATATGAAAATGAGCCTGTGTTGGATTTACCTGGGGCTTTAAGAGGGGCGTGGCTGCCACCGACAGGTGACCATTCACTCGATGTATAAAAAGCGGCATCGCAATTTGTTTCATTTGAAAATCACTCCCTTCGTTGCCAACATGGCTCCACTGCAGTGAGTGATTTTGACCGCTACGTTTGTGTCCGCTTTTCTAGATTCAATCATGCTCGCTTGCTTTGTTTGTCTGCTTTGTCTTGGGGCCGTAGGGCTTTATGTTTGCTGCATCGCAATCACAGTTCGTTGCCATTCGCGATCGGCAGTTAGTTAATACGCGATGGGAGAACTATTCCTCTCATGTAATCGATGTGATGGAGAGGTCAGGGTTACAAAGGGAAAGGTCACGTTTATAATGATTAAAAATAAGCGTAGAATTCATTTGAAAGTGTTCCAATGGGGCCCCCAGCATCGGAGCAAGTCATGTAATTTATTCATGTAGCACTCCCTGGGTCCACGAGTCCAACACTCTTTTTTAAACCCTTTTTTAAATCTTTTTGGGACTCTGTACTTCAATGGTCTCAAACACGCGGCCCACGGGCCAAATGCAGCCCACAAGACGCTAATTTGAGGTCCCCGCCTTGATATGAAAGTTAAATGTTAGTGCAAGTTTGATATGGATGCTGTATGTGTTAGCACTACATCCGTGCTAAATAATTAGGTCTGTCTCATTCGAAGGCCGACAGCTTCGGAGCACCCAGACTATAGCAGCAACGTGACCGTGCCCACTGTGCCCCGCAACAGCTCGGATACACGTGTATCATTGTTTCCATCAATAGTGGCAACAGTCAGTTTGAGAAGGATAAAATAACGTAAATAAAATAATGCAGTGGCTACTACTCAGAGACCTAATAGCCATAAACGTCCGCCCCCTCCGATGCAGCACACCGCGATGATTTCCATGACCACCCCATTCCCAGCGTCGGTGGAAGTAACGGCGCCAGACTAATAAAAGAGATGAAAGCCACTTCAGGCATGCTTTATTAATTAATGACAACATGCTGGTGAGTAGGACGAGCGAGGCGCCGGCTCATGTTCAAAGCGGCCTTGATAGGTCTTGAACGGTGGCGCTGTCTTGGTGATCAAAGGCCTAACCTGACAGTTTTTAACCTAGAAAAAAAAAGCACTGTCATACTTTAGATGCTTCTAGAAATCTAATCAGTTTCACCCCGAAGTACCTGGATCTCAGGTCCAACATCATTTGGCAACACCGTTTTGGGTGGACATCTGTCGAGATGGGCATGATTTTTGGGGGGGGCTTGTATGTTGTTTTGTGGCTATATCTGAAAACAAGAGAGGCATAATAGATTTCTTTTAATAGCAATAACAATGATGCCGGTCTGTCTGCAGTTAAAATGAGAGAGAGAGAGAGAGAGAGACAGAGACAGAGAAAGAGAAAGAGAGAAAGTAGTTGTTAAAAAGCAGATCTAGCAAGAACATGAACAATAAAAATAATTATTACATTTGAAGCGGTTTGAATGGTAGTGGCCAAGAATATTTTTTTGAAATCAAGTTAACTTTTCTAGATTCTTTTATTTTTTTTGCGCCAGTTCTGAATCTCCCCTTGTTTCCAGGTTCTCGTCATATTAATAGGAATATAATAACAATAACATGTAATATCATAATAGTGATATAGTAATATTTATGAATGGTTGAAGTTCGATTCAGCAACAAATTACAAGGCATAGTGCCTGCTCAGGAAATGAAAATATCTCAAAACATCTAATGTGCAAGGAAAAAAAAGTAAAGATATTTTTTAAATCAGCCTCAAAAATACATTTCGGGGGACATAAAAGCCATGCAAGCACTGCAAGCTCAGGCACTTGGACAAGTCATTCAACATCCTTTTGCCAGTTTTTCATAATCACCGCCATCAGAGTCATACGTGTCCCTCGTGTGCCACCTTGCACATTTGAAACATGGAGAGGAGAAATAATCCACAGTTTAAAAAAAAAGTCTATGGCACCCTGAGTCATGCGTAGGCACATGCACAACATGTCATCTACCTGACAATTAATCAGGACGGACTTCTATCTTGCCCAAGAGAAATAAATGGAACAAACACAAATAAACCGCAGGCGAAAAAGTCCACGGCACGCCGCTCGGTAAAGCACAGCCATATCCGCTACGTTTGGCTCATGATTAACGCGACGATTCTTTTCGCCAGTAGTTGATGGCCTTTGTGTCACTAAATTAGAAAATAATAAGAATAATGAAGTACAATTGAGCTGAGCTCAACTCTGCACTATTGAGTCCTTCGCTGTCCAGGCGGTGAATTGTCAGCGAGTCAAGGTTTTGCGCGGATGCTTGAATAATCCGCAGGATGCGTTTTGCTAAAGATGAACGTTTAATGAGTTGCTAAGTGCACGGTAGTGGAGAAACTCGGCCAAGGTGACAACACTCAAATGCAGATGAATCAGCAATCTCATCTCTCGCCTTTTGAGTTAATAATAATAATTTCATTTATAAGCGCCTTTCAAAACACTCAAGGACACTTTACAATCAGGAAGAAGAACAGAGGAACAGAGTTAGTGTCCTATGCAGCTACTTACACACCATGTCAAAAATTACAAACATTTCAATACTGATCATATAAATGTAAAGAAACATCCGTCCATTTTCGAGATCACCTACCCACACCCGGGTCGGGGCTGAGGTGGAGCATATCACAACGTGCAAGACCCATACAGTCATTCACACACCCCAAAACTCCGGAGTGTGAAGGACCACAAGCTCCCCCTGTGCTGCCCTTGTTTAAACGAAAGCATAATTATAAATATTTGGCGGATAATTGTAATCGCCTCTGCCTTGATGGTGTGATTCCAGCTCAACGAAGCGTTCCCTCAGCGAGTCGCACCCCCGGGCGAAACCAGTGAATGCCGTCAAAGTGATTATCATTTCATTAAAGTCGACGCCGATTCTCCCTGTGCAGATGTATTCAATCAGGGTGCAATTAACACCGGCACATCACACCTGAGTTACAGCGCGTATTTAAAAAAAAAAAAAAAAAAGCAGACGCACCCTATTTTAAGCAATGACGACTTCTGTGTTGACCTGAAGACAATGCTAAGTGATTAACAGCAAGTCTTGCGTGCCCTGCCGCTTCTCAAGTGTGCTGCTGCACGTGGCACTTCTTTCGGGTTACGTCCACATTCAGGATTTCTCAAGAACGATGTCACAAGTAAGAAGTGGCACGAATAAAACAGCTTGGCCCTTTGACGCCGGTGGTTGCAGCTGAATTAGGTTTCAAGTGTATCATTTATACGAATGGTGCGCATAATAATAATCATAATAGAGTGTCTGGCGGCATACAGTGCGCACAGCAAAGAATTAATAAAAGAGGGTTCTTGCTGACTTGAATATTACTCGTTTTTTTTCCCCTCAGAGCTCTGCTTGATCTTGACAAAACAAACAAACAAAAATGCTTGTTTCATCATTAATTCCGGGGCAATACTCAAGGGAACCGGCCATATTTGGCCATGAAACAAGTGCTGCATCTCATACGTGGAACTTCTCCCCCCCTCGCGATTAGAGTCTGGATGCCATTTTTTCCACAGCTCAGACTTTGATGCCATGCTCTGCCAACATTAGATGGCGGAAGCAAAAAAAATAAAAAATAAAAAAGCCGAGGATACCTGCTTCTGAGCTGTTCATGAAAGTAAGAATGGAATTTGGCCCAAATGGGGGTTTTTTTCAGCTCAAAATGGCCGACTCCTTTTAAAATTTGGGCCATGGGTTCTTGAGACTTTTTCGAGCGTCCTGCTATGATGGACATGTCCACTGAAATTCATGTTGATTGATCGTTGAAACTGGCGTCCCGCAGGGCCGGCCGGGCATTAAGAAGTTACTGAATCGATATTGAATTGTGTGGCAAG